GTAACTTTGCAATGTACCAAACAGACAAAAGCTTAATTAATAAACACAATCCTGAAAACTAAAATAAGAAACCTCCTCTAAGTTCGTCCCACCTTGTTTTGGACAAGATACTTGGGCATTTCTTTGTCACCACTGTTAGTAGCTTGGAAATCCTCTTTTTATATACCAGTTTTACCGATCACTCTCAATAAAATGTAGAAGCTCTAAAATATATACGTCGTATTAAAAGATTCATAATTGCAGATTTCATTTCCATATTTTTATGAAACGTAATCACAACACCATCACGGCCTTGCTCGCGAAACCTCACCTTAATGAGTTGCATGTCCGTTCTTAATTCAAAGACAGGTTACAGTTAAATATGTTACCGTTCCCATAATGAGTAAGAATTTTGTCGTTATCGAAATATCTTGAAGCATTTGTGAAACGTCAATTTTTACATAGTAAACAAACTATAATCAGTTTGTGTTTTTAAAATTAAAAGTAATAATGAAAATAGAACATACAAACTACATAGGTCATATAAAATAGCAGTGGTACACGTTTAGATAGCCAATTTATATATATATATATATATATATATATATATATATATATATATTGTATTATCTGTAGTGAAAGTAAGCATGTTAGGCATCCCATGGGGTATTCACGTATTCAAACTATCTGCCTTTGGTTCGTTGATTCAATCAGGTTCTTATGCTCAAGCGCATTGGTCGATAAAAATAGCACAATCATCAAGTGCAGATAATTTGAATGAACCCAGGGTATAGTGGAGTAGAATGGAATGAGACCACTGGGTATACCGAGGATAGCATGTTAGGGTAAATATTTTCGAATCGAGTCGTGAATTCCACTCCATATTTGTTTCATAAAATAATAATGAAGGAGTTTGGTCAACAACCCAAGTGGTTCTTATCCATAGGAATCTAAATAAAAACTGAAAAGGTAAAGCATTTTTGAATTTTCATAGATCATTAAATATTTACAAAGACGGTTCTTAGTGGTGTAACAAAACCCCTAGTACCTCGAGTGGATAGTAGTTTAAAATCGATTATTAATTTCAATAGCTATAAAAATAGTATATTAATGGTAATGACATCTTGGTAATGGTTTAAGAAAAAAATCAGTTAATTTAAAAAAAAAAGGTTTTTTTTGGAGAGAGATCTGGTAACTGTGAACAGAATTTTTGTAAAAATAAAATATAAGTTAACATGATTACAACTATTTTTTTGTCCCTCGTTTCATTTCGTCTATTCTCGGGAAAACAGGATACGCTTAAAATGAACTAAAGTTCGATATTTATGCGGTAGTCTTTACATTGTACATAATTAATAAATCTTACTTCAATAGTGTTTCTCTTGGCTTTATAGGCGCAATAACGGGATCCCATGCATCTGGAGCGTCTACCAAGTAACAGTGACGACTGTCACGAACCAAAAACAAGTTCCGAAATATTACATATTGTTTTCTTTTGTTATCTGTGTTTTGTTCAGAAAAATCTAAAATATAACATATTAATAAATGTCACCTATTGGTTGTTTTTTATCTGACAGTTTGTGAAGCCGTGTTGCAACCCCTATTGTAATAATTGCAATAGAATTTCTCTTAAACCCTATTGTAATACTAACCCCTATTGTAATAAATGTAATAAATTATTTCTTAACCCCTATTGTAATACTAACCCCTATTGTTATAATTGTAATTAATATGTTTTGCCATACAATACAATCGACATTTAATTAAGTTTAAAAGTCTATGGATTTTAATCAGTATGAATATAAGAATACTGGTATTCGTTTATACTGCATAGCGAAAACATGGTTAAAAGCCGTTTCGATTTGGATGTCTATTTAAACAAGCGGTCGCAATGCTATATAAGCCCACTATAATCCGTTAAAACCTTCACTAAATATATTGTTCTCGCAATACTCCAATGCTTCATACCAAATCTGAAATAAATCTGATAGGGTTCATAAACAGAGAATGACGAAACTCGATGGGTTTCATACCTTCCTGTTCCAAATTCATCACACGATAAACATAGTTACACGTTTACGTCAAATGCATTGGCCATAACCCAAGAAATTGCGGTCTGATACGCATCTTGGACCGTATGATCCTTAATATATATACATGTATATGTAAGTTTCATCTGAATCGGTCACACATTGTTGGCTCGGGGAATCCACAAACTTCGTACCGTTTTGAATAAAAGGCAGTTTGGTTCACGCGCATCAAACTCCAAATCATTCAATATCTTCTCGTAATTCACAATATTAGGGTTTTTTTCTAAATCAGACAAAGATTTTTGTGGCCTCAATATCACGCCACTATTTGCATAAAGTGCGCTGTAATTTTCACGAAAATCGTACTCATGCATTTGCGTGTATAATAAGGGCCCTCAACTATGTACGCTATTTTCGTACAAATATGAGCAATACTTCTGGAAGTTGATCTTGGCTAATCAACCAGTGGCAAATTTTTATGGTTGTCTGTTCCAAAAAAGTAGGTTCCCAAAAGATACAGATAGACTATTTCAGTCATATTGCTGATTGGGGTCGCAGGCCAATGTGATCGATTGGTAATTTGTTTGATCTCCCATCGGATGCTACAGTGCAATATGTGATGCCACCTTATATATGATTTAATCTGATGTGTATGTTTGTTTGTGATTTCTGCGTATTGTGTCTTGTCTGTAGATTTATTTATTTTTTGTAATTATGTGTGGTGCAGTCCTCCCACACTTGATAATATCTACAAGCTATATCTAATTTATGGACTTGCTAATAATCTAACAAAACTGAATCAAATAAAATGTTTAAATAATTAAATCGGGTAGCTGTGTTTAACTAACCACGTCAATTTGGTTCACCATTTCTCCTTTATTTATAATTCGATTTGCCCCCAAAATGTTGTTCTTGACAGTTTAGACTATTCCAAATGCATGTCTTTTTGGGGTCTTGTGTTTTGTCGTTACTTTGAAATGTATTAAATAATTTCGTAATTGACATTAATTAAATCCTTGGTTCGAGATCTGTATTTGTTTACATGTTTACATGACGGTTAATTTATCTAAAATGTATTCCTGTCTTCCAGGATGAAATCGTAAAAGTGATCAAAGACAACCATGGGACTCATAGATTAAGTGAATTACAGACTTTGGTTCAATTCCGTGATCTCTTGGAAGCTGCCGGTAGGCAGACGAAGTGACTTATCTTCCTACCGTAACCTATCGACGATAAGTCACTTCGTCTGCCTACCGAAGAAAAACTGTCTATTAAAACTGCCAATTAAAATATAATATGAATAAAATGTTCTTTATTTATCTACTAGTTAATACCTCGTCTTTTTACGCTAAATCAGTCTATTCTGTCGTAAGTTATTGCTCTTGTTTAATTGTTCTCGACACATCACGCCACACCCAGAAGTCTTCAACGTATGGGAGATTGTGGGCCAGTTGTCCACATTTCACATGGAACTGGACAATCAGAGACAGAAAACGTTATTGCGGTGTGGTTTCCCCCTGTACAGGACAGAAGGCTTTACAAGGAACAGTGTTTAATCATTCGGATGGGACAAAAAACCGAGGTCCTGCGTACCCATTGGTGTCCACACAAAATGAAGCCCTAACATGCCGTAGTGCTGCTGTCAGGGTAAAATGTCCCCCGTAACATCCCCTGAATTAATATATATATTATCCCATGTCTATAATATGTCCATATACTAATTTTTAAATTATCTTAGGGTGAGCACACTCAGTTACTTACGTTGTTTATATCAATGTGAATTTCAATATCTTATCTGTTAATTACATATAAGAATGATAAAAATAATGTATATATATACATTTGTAAAGTGTTTTCTGCCTATGCAATGCAAACTGCAGATTACAGCACCCAATAGCAACAATAGATCTAGTGGCATTGTCAGGTGCACATCTTTCACTGTCTAACCTAGTGGGTTTTCTCACGGTCCTCCGGTTTCCCCCCACGGCTAAAGACCCCTATACGCGCTAGCTAATTATTGAAATAAAATCGAATCATCTGTAAGTTGCGAAATGACCCCTCTCTCACTTATTTTGGTCAATGACTAGTCTATGGCCGTGTTTACCTCACATTTACAGAAGACCAGTGGGTCTTGCCACATGTTCAATAAATTCCGTGGATCACTGCCATCTCGGCATGTTCTGCACCGATAAATTCATTTCATTTTCTGGGATATATATGTCATGCCAGAAACGTGATGTATGAAAATCCCATTTCTTTGATGATTATCTGTAATATTTCCTACGCACATGACGGAAAAAAAATATATGTACACGATTTGATTTCATTTAAAGCGACTATGATACACACAATTATTCTTAACTCCTCAGTCGAAAGGCCTGGATGTGGCTATTTGACAATATCTGGACTATCAAAGTTAGACGTCATGAAATTAATATAAGATGATGGTATCTTTAGATGACTATGATTGCGCAAAGGTTACAGATTTAAATAATTTGAACCAACATACCTTTTAATTGGTATGTTCGCCTTATAGTCTGGAATATTATTCCTTTAAGTGGCATTTAATTAGCAAGTGACGAAGCAGAAGTCTATGAATAACAGTTGGGAAATGAGTAGATCAACTTTCCCATCGATATGACAGTGAATCATATGTTTAATATGATGTACGTGGATAAAGAAATGTAATATAAATGTTACTTGAAAATCTATTTAATAATTGGATTATGTTGTTAGGTCATTGGATGTTCAGACCCTTAGTGTAGTTACACCAAACCTGGTAAAGTACTTATAGCTAAAAAATTTGGAACCCGGTAGATTTTAAAGTACAATTGCAGAACGGTGGGAAGTTAAACCCCATTTCATTTCATTCAAAGAACACGAATTTTGTCACTCGCTTTAATGTGCAAATCCACCTGTTGTTACTCACGAACTACACACCACTTTTTAAAAATATATGACAGTATATATACCAGTACTTCAATCTAGATACTTTACTATTGACTCTTCTGTCATCTAGCCATCATGAGGTTTCTGGTTGTGTTTTCTCTACTCGCCCTGACTTGTGTAAGTATTACCAAGTTCCTTCTTATCAGAGGAAGATGTCTTTGTGATACGGAACTTTCTCTTAAACACACATTATGCAAGAGCTAAATCTGCCTATTGCAGATTTTAAAACTAATATAGCGAGAACTGAACACTCTTTATCTAATCTCCCTTAATGCCTCTTTAAATAACAAAGATAACGGTCATTAAAAATCAAGATGTATCTATATTCAATTTTAATTTTACAGTGCAATGTGTACAAAGTTTTTTTCTTCCAGTCCGATGATTACAATTAAATGCTTATGATTAATCTTTACTTTATAGGCTCAGTTACTACATCCCTTCTGGAATGGCGCCAACAGTGATCGTCATAATGGTTATCAATTTGAGTATCACAGCCGAAGCGTAAGTGTATAATAAAACGCTGTTTATTTTTAGTACAATATTTATAAGTTATGATTACAATTATTTTATTTTTTGAAGGTGCTAATAATGGCCCCTTTGATAGAAACAAAATTCTCTTCTAATATTTTTCTTTTCTAAAGCATCAACATTTTACTGAGAAAAAAAAATCAAAAGAAATCACCAAATAAATGCTCACAAATTTATACCTACGTAACCATGTAACGGTAAAAGAAGAAATAGAAGAAAGAAAAGCACCAAATAATTACTCAGTAATTATACTCCTATCTAGACTATTAATTAACTTTGATTGCAGACCAGTTTTGAGTGGACTAACAATATGTCTTATTATAAGAAATGATTAAGCATCATCACTTTATTTTATAGCATTTGTTGGTAGTTCGGGATACGAGAAACTGTTATTTGATCAATGCTGACAAGAGCCTTGTTGATACTTTCGTGGATAAGTCTACAAGAGACTCAGTCGAGGTAGGAATTACTTTTGATTTTAATTTATGTTTCGTCTAAGTAACAGAGCACTGTCATCGGTACTCGAGTGTCATTACCTCATAGAAAAGCTACGGTAGAAATTGGTTCGAATATCGGCATGGGCTGAAATGGAAATCGCTGCCTGGTCGTTTCGGTGGGATGAAAAAAAAACAAGCCCTGGCAAAAGTACATTTGACAGTCGACATTTCAAGAAACCGCTGTCTTGAAAAAAACCCCACCCTCCTTTATATCACTTATTATTCCTTATACATTTTCTATTATTGGGTTAAAATAATGTTTATATTTTCTTTCTAGGATGATATTATCGCGCATATTAAGAATAACGAGGGTACTCATGCAGAAAGTCATTTGGGTTCTCTAACTCATTTTCACGATATTTTGACTACTGCTGAATGTCTCCGACGAAGAATATACAGCTTGGAATACAAAATCAGCACAGCTACAACCCAACAACCATAAATATGTAAATTTGCGTAAATAAAAGGAAAATAAAAAATGCATAACAATAAATCTATGAACTCGCGTTGTATTTCAAAGAGATTCTATAAAATCGTTGGAAGTAAAACACTTCCAAAAACGATTTACAACATTGCTGTTATTTATAAATTCACAATAAGGATGAATGAAATTCGCTACCCAAACCCATAGAGCATTTTTCCAGGGACCCATAGATAGTCAGAGACGGCCAATAATTGGCCTAACTGATGATTGGTGGGGTGGTGCATGGTTCATGACTCATGCGTTTTAGTGCTTAATACAAGGACCCTTGCCCTGAAGTCAGTGACCCTTTTCCATGAATCAAGAGTCGTTCTTGCGCGTTTTCTATCAGCATTTTTTTTCAATTTTATTTCGGGTCGGACTCTGGTGCCTTCGGTGCCGCCGCCATAATCCGCTATTGAGCATGTCCTTTTTCCAGTCTCCTCCGCTAATCACGACAATCACCATTGACAGTGATTTGAGTCTCGTTTCTATGAAGCTATGGTTTCTTTCTAAACTCAGTTACTGTAACATGTGACACATCTTTGGAATAAAAGAAAGCTGGTACAATCGACTGTCTATATAATTATTAATTCCTCAGGTTAGTCAGTCTGGTTCTAACTAGATAGGAGACATATTATTTTTAATCAAACAGAGTACATCAATAAATATTTGATGTTTATTGGAGGCGGGGACGCTTAACTATGCCCACTCCTATCAGTGTACGACTGAGAAAAGGCCAAAACTGTAAACATTTACAACGGCGAATTTTGGTTGTAGCATTCGAAATCTCTAGTGTCTGGTTATTCCAGTCTACACCGATAGTATTTATTGCGCATGCTCTCCAGATAAGAATATTATGTCACCATTTGACATGACTTGTTGAATATGCTTAGCCTGGTTTTCCGAATTCCTTGTTACAAATGGCGCTGAAACGCATTATGGCACACGATTCGTGTACCAATGGTAAAATGTTTATTTTGTCTTAAATATTAGATATCAGAAGCCCATCTTTTACCGGTAAGATCACAACATCAATGTTGATTTAAATTGACAAATAATTCGCGTTTTGAATGTTGAAGATTTTGGATGATATTTAGTTAGAGACTTAGCTACTTTAAAGTAGAATTGGTCGGTTTGGCCAAAATTATTATTTATTTCGTAACAAAGACTGTCTTTTTTATTCGGTATGGTCGTAATCCATGTTAAACGTTTGATCTAGCAGGTTGGGGTGTAAAGCTAACGACTATCCTTAAAGTTATTCTATTTAATAGAGTATTCTCTGGGTGGCTAAGTGAGTAAGACGCTGGCTTTCTAGCCTGGAGGTCGCGTGTTCGATCCCTGCATTGGTCGAGAAAGTCCATCCAGATTTTCCGGCGTGATACCCCCTTGTCAGTGATGCAGGACGGAGGGCCTGACAAGGACAGTTGTCTAGTCGTTTGGATGGGAGTTGGAATTCGATAAAAGAGTAGGCCAGTAGTGTAATAATATTATGACCTTGACTAATAATTGTTTATAGATTCATAGTCAAGCACAATGAAATGAAATGGGGTTTAACATCCTACTGTTCCGCTCCTAACCTGGTCTAATGAAGACGGGCATACACCATACAGTATGCTATGAGGGCAATTTCAACTGCCAAGGGATCTTTTACGTGTACGCCAATGTGTACACCGGACCTCGGTTTTTCGTCCCATCCGAACGACTAGACAGCTGTCCTTGTCAGGCCCTCCGTCCTGCATCACTGACAAGGGGGGAACCACGCCGGAAAATCTGGATGAACTTTCTCGGCCAATGCAAAGATCGAACACCGGACCTCCAGGCTAGCGAGCCAGCTTCTTATCCACTTAGCCACATGATCCCACTAGTCAAGCACAATAACACATGAATTTAACTATAGGTTAATAAACACATTTGGTATATGTCATCTTCATGGTCAGGAATGCAATGTGTCGGTTGACCAAATTTAGTAATAAGTCCCTCCCAGACTTTAGCTTAGGGGATATGCCTATTCTATATTTGTAAACTGGGACCATGGTCAGACTATGACGCAAACCAATTAAGGTGTGGGCACTATGAAAGAGTCGGGGATAGTATTTGGCAGAACTCACACTGCGTGTCATAATAGTCATTTACTTAATTGAGAACGAAGAAGATTTGTGACTAGTGCTAAAAGTTTTTATATAAATAAAAAACAGAAACAAGACCTGAACTGTGGTTATAATTTTCGTCACGGAAGTGAAGGCAATGTGAAGCTTAAACATAGAACAGTATAACAATAGTGTCGCTTCTCTGGCAAAATTTACCTGATCGCACACATTTAATGGCGTATGCTCGTCTTCATTAGACCAGTAGGAACAGAACAGTCGGACGTTCAACGACCTTCCATTTCATTTTCTGTCAAATTCTATAACTGAACAAAATTAACATAAAGAACAATCAATCAGAAATAACCAAAGAGCAAGTTATCGAAAATCATTACACTGACCTATTTTGTACAATATTTTCAAGTGACACTTTTTCTTATCTTGTTTTAACAAAGACCAAGTCCTATCGTGCCTTGTGGATTATGGACAGGCCAACATCTTGAATAATGCAGTTATCTCCCTTTATCCCGTCCACAAAACTCAATGACAATGTGTCACAAGTAGGAGTATACCGATAATTTATAAACGGATTTCAGGATAAAAATGTTTTATTATAACTATTAATATGCATACATCATAGTTTTTGATATTCTTTTCATAACGATGCTTTTGGAACGAGCCCTCTTAAAGACGGGGAAAATGTGTTTGGTATTTATAATCGATGGTCTTTAGATGGAGAGAGAGAGAGAGAGAGAGAGAGAGAGAGAGACTAAATGGTTTAATTTTATTTCAATAATTCGCTTGCGCGTAGGGTTCTTTAGCAGTGGGAGGAAAACGGAGTACCCGGAGAAAACCCACGAGGTTGGACAGGCGACCCTACTCCTTGTCACGTACAACCGGGGATTCGAAACCACGCCAGTTGACTCAATGACAGGCCTTATGATACAGCACGCACGTGCTAACCATTTGGCCATCCAACCCCTCGTCTTTAGATGGTCTCCTTCAAACTTACTAAACGTTTTTTAGTAACGCTGTCCCAATTAAACATAGTTCCCGACTGTTTTGCTAGGGGTGGTGTATGTATGTTCTCCCATACTCTCCCAATTAAACATAATTAATGACGTTGTTTGAAAGCAATGGTGTATGTATGTTTGACTACTGCCAAAATAGTTCTTTTTTTATTAATCAGTTAACAGAAGACTGTAAAATCACACATCAATGTCGTAAACGGGGGTTAATTTCCCTTTTAATATAACTGTGTCTTATTCACTAATGATCGCAGAATTTGAATTACAAAGGGCTGTGAAAAATATTGCACGAAACGTCAGGTGGAAGTCTAAAGGGAATATTCCTTTAACTAGCCAAACGATCTTGACATTGAACTTCAGAGTTAAGTTATGAAAAACCTCGCTGTAAAGACAACCAATCAGTCGGTTATGACACAAAATGAACCAGATTCAGCCTTGTTTTATTTGTACATACATTCTAAGACCAAGTAGACATTGTAGATGGATTTTATTGTATAATTGGGTTTGAAATAGATTCTTTATTGACATGCATTGAATTCTTGCCAAATCAAATGTTACGTTGTCAAAGATTTATTGGAACATTTCGATCTTCGTCCAACACGTGATGACCTTTGAAATGTATTTTGCAGGCTTGATGGTCTCGGGTGAGACTAATGGGATTAAAACATCATATTAACTTATTCTATGAACCACACGTGTTCTGGGAATACCACGCGTACTCACGAGATGAGTCGTAACACGTGAATCTTTTGTCGCAGTAAAGTAATTACATTCTAATCCAACCTATTGATCTCTCAAAGATTGTAATTAAAAGTAAAAATGATAAAAGGAAAATGGCGGAATACTGATGGGTGACCTTCAAAACACAAAAGCAAATATTTTATGTAACATAATTATATTTCCATACGGACTGTAAGTACGCAGATATTTTTCTTCAAAATAGATAGAAATAAATAAAAGCCGGAAATTAAATTACTTTTCACCGTATTAAAAAAAGAGAGAAAGGCATGAAACGAATTAAACATTTTTAGAAAACGCCGCACAGGAGATATTGTTGTTTACATTTCAGATTCTGGTTCAACGACAAGACATACGTCAGTCCAATCCGGTCTAGATGATATAGCCCTAACAGCGGCAATAAGTCCACGCAAGCCAGCAAAACGTATTAACATTAACCACCCTCTAATCATATTGATTTAGAAATTCAAACTTGGTGCGTTCCTCATGATTTTCTAACGTGGTTTAACCTTGTCAATGGTTCCGCATGGAAGGCCTGGCTGGCAAGGAAAGCGCCTAGTTGTTCGAGGTTGACAGTTGGAATGCGAAAAAAGAGTAGGCCCTAGTAGTAGTATAGGACCGCTCTCCTCCCAAAATTTCCCCCATAGCTCAGCCGAGAAAGTTCATTGGGATTTTCCGGCGTGGTTCCTCCTTGTCAGTTGTGCAGGACCAAGGGCCTGGCAAGGTACAATGTATAGTAGTCGTTCAGATGGGATGGAACGGCGTGGTCACGGAAAACATATTGGCATGTACGTTAAAGATCACTTGACAGTTGGAATCTGATATAAGAGTAAGCCGTAGCACCGCTGTCCGGGCAAAATTTCCCCTCATAGCACACTGTGTGGTGTATGCCCGTCTTCATTAGCCCAGTTGGTGTAGAGACGTAGGATGTTAAACTTATTTCATTTCAAATTAATACAGACTTCATTAAAAATTAAATACAAAACATTGATTTGCAACAAAGACGCAATAGAAGTAATGGGACCTGTCTTGGCGCGGGTGGTCTCCTGAATAAGCAATTCTGAATCAATGGTAAAAGAAAAACCAATACAACCTTCTGTTTATGGCATACCTGACAGTTGCCAATGTCGATTTGCATGCCGATGGCACACAATTTAACAAAAGCATGATTTGTGTTTAT